GAAGTCGAATAAGGAATTTATAAATATTAATTTTGCTGCGTTGCGACGCGCGGTCATAATACAATACTCGTGAACTACATGGGTGTTGAGTTAAAAAATATATAATACAATTTATTGTTAAAATAATTTTTTTATTTAAAAATTTTGGTAGACTAATTGATGAAAAATATTGGAATAAAACGTGAAAGTGATTTATAAATCGTAATTTAAAATAGAAACTAGTGTGTAGTCCGTGCGATGCACAGGTAAACATTATTAACTAATAATTATAAAAAGAGGAGAGTAAACAATATTAACTAATAATTACAAATTAAAAATGTGGTTAAATAATATTAAATATTAATTATAAATTAATGATGTAGGGTAACATATATAATATACGAAAAAATTATCTAAAATATTCTATATTAAGCGTAATTCACATTCAACATAAAATAGTTTAAATAACGCAAAAAAAAACAAGATTTCAATATATACGCTAATTATAAGTGTCAGGAGGGACCTCAAGTCCCACATAATATTAGTGAACAGTTAATCATGTCATGTGCAGCTCACGTGACTATTTCTAGTCAAATTTTGAATTTTTAGTGAGCCGGTGATTGTTTTGTAACCTTTTTGTAAATAGAAATTAGTAAACTTAAAACAACGATTCTAAATGGACGAAAAAGTTAGCGCATTGAAGCATACAGGACTAAAGTTGCAATTTTCTCTAAAAACTTGTACAATGAAACGAGAATTAAATAATGTTTGTATTTTTATTATGAAATTGAAAAAGAAAGTACAACAAATAATAAAGAATTAAAAGAGTTTGTAATACTATTTCATATGTCAAGATATATACGAAATTTTCTACAAAATCCCATAAACCTTCGTTTAGAACACTGTTGATTTGACAACTGTTCGTGTATTATAAAATTGAGTCATTTGAATAACATACAATTCTTATGATACTTAAATTATATCATTCGCTTCCAATCAATAAATCTAGATATATATTACATTTTATACGTCAAGATATATACAAAATATTCTATAAAATCATATAGAACTTCGTTATAGAATACAGTTGTTGAACATATTTTACAGAATTCCATAAATATAGTTTACAGAAAAAATAGAAAAAATAAAATAATCGCATATTTTATTGACCATAATAATAATGGATAACTATATTTTTTACACATAAACTTGAATTATTAACATCAAATAAACACCATAAAAATAGAAAATAACCAAAATTCAGTGCTTTCTGCAAGTATTTCTCTCCACATCATGCAGTATAGTATAATTCGAGCTACTCACATTCCTTGAATAGCAAACTTTGCCATCAGAATAACTGTAATCTTGCTGAGTACTACCAACTCCATTCACCACGCTGCCGTTTACAATCACAATATATCCTTGTCCATTTTGCCGATTCTTGAGCCTACCCGTAATCGATCCAAAACCCGAACTCTTTCGACTCTGCTCATAAAAACCTAAGGTCACATTAGCCGCATAAACCTCTGTCCCATTGTCTCTGTCGATGGTATCATCGGAATGAACGAACGTGCGGAACTTTCTAAACAACTTTGCCGACAAAACATTCGATGACGGCTTCCTTATGTCAACACTCGATTTCAACTTTATTGTCTGATCAAATATCTGCACATTCGCATGGTTCCCTAATGCCATACCATTATTGTACTCGAACTCTTGACGAGACTTCGTTTTGATGAACCCATGAGACGATTTAACCCACCCACTAGAAACTACCGACCGACTAGCATTAGTAGTGAATAGTCCATCGAAACCACTATAATTCGAGACAATCGATAAAGAAAGAGGCGAATTTACATGGCTCAACAGCTTTCCTTGTGTTCTGTCCGATTTCTTGTCTAGCCAAAGATGCAAATTCGCGTTCACGTACCACACGTTCAAGGCGTTTGTGACACTAAACCCAAAGGTATGTTTTTTGCCGTCCAATAACGAGCCCAAGAAGGGTGTGACCTCGATATCATAAGTCGGGAGATTAAACGAGCCGATCCCTGTAATGGGCCTCCACAGTAAAGGATTTACTCCACCGGTGAAGATCACGGTGAAAGGCCAAACTGCACCAATTAATGTATCATCTAATTTTACGACAACCTCTCGAAAGGGGCCGTTCCCCGGGTATGCATCAGAGCTTAGATTATTTACGGAAATGTACTCGTTCGGGAAATTCCCGAACCAGAACTCGTCCTTCTCGTGAAAGGACACGTACACCTCAAGCACGGCCCTGTACGCATTTCGAGGAATTTCGAGCTCTTTCTCGGCTAGGAAAGTGGAGTTTTCGATTTCGAACCACAGCCCGTCGTTCAGGGGCAGATTTCTCGAGATGGGCAGGATCAAGTCGGCTCCGGAAAGAAACTCATTGTGCCGGCGGTCGGAAATTTCAGCGGAGGGGTAAAAGTGGAATTTCAAATTCACGTGATAAACGCCGGTGTATGTACTATCGACGATGTTACCTAAATAAACGGCCAAAGTTTGCTCCTTTTCGGCCGTCAGAAGAGAATGGTACCTGGTGACGTCCTTTCTGACGGTCCAAACGGTGCCGTTTTTTCTGGGCTCGGCGGTGCAGCTGCGGAGGATCTCGACGCCGCCGAGCCAGACGCCGAAGATCCGGTCGAACTGCCGTCCTTTGGAAGTGGCGGTCCACTCGAGTACGATTTTTGAGGAATTTCCGGCGTTGCAGTCGGAAGGGGGTTTGTAGGCGGCGAGGACAGGGGGTTTGCCGTAGGTGTAGGCGAAATCGTGTTTGAGGGCTGAATAGGAGCAGGGTTTGGTTTTGGGGAGTGGGATGGGTTTCGCGACTTCGAAATAGGTGGTGGGAGGGGCGGCAACGGCGGCGCCGGAAAGGGATTGGGGAATGGGCTGCGACCGGAGATGGGATGTGTTGTGGAGGTTTGCGGTGGAGAGATGAGGGCTGAGGAGGGCCAGAATGAGGAGGGAGAGAGTGAGGAGGGAAGAATCCATTATTGGAGAGACTTTTTTCTTTGTTTTTTTAGATATATACGTTTTTTCAATGGAATTATACAGTTATTATATGATGATGATTGATCTATTAGTAGTTTTATAAAGAGTTGGGAGGAATTATTGCAACTAAATTCGGGATTCGATTTTACATATCTTTCATCAAAGTCTTGATTTTAGAAAACTTAAATAAATTGAAAAGGTGTGTGTGACCGACCAGAAAATGGCATTTTGGGGTAAATAATGATAATAAGAGATGATTTTTTTTTTTTTTTTGTGGGAAAATATATAATATTAAATATATTTTTATTTCTTAAATGTAATAATGGAATTTGTAGAGAAAATTTCGAATTTGGATGAATAATTTTGTCTTTTTTTTTGAATTTATTTGTTTCATTTTATAAAATTTGGCATAAAAATAAATAAAAATGTATCTAATAGACCACACAATTATATACAAAATTTGAGGTTAATTTTAATTGATTGAATGAAGTGAGTTAGAGAGCGAAAAAAATTTGATGGATGGGAAATGAATTAATTTTGAGTTTGTGAATGAACAAGATATAAATTTTAATAATTAAAGTTGGTTTCATATAAAAATAGTAAAATAATAACCATAACTGATTAATAGTTAAAAATATGAGAGTAAATGGATAGTGATTTTCTTATAAATTGTGCAGTATTGATTAATTTTTATTATTTATTATATTGATAATATTGATAAAAAAATTTAGATTACGTTAATAATAATTTATAGTAAAAGACTTGGATACATTTGTTTGTTCCGTAAAAGAAATCTAGCGAGACCAAAAAAAAAAAAA